CTATATATCTATGTATATACAGGGCTATTCATATTCGACTGACCCATCTGGCAGCCATATATCTTTTGACAGAGATACAAGATCGCTTATTAACATACCGCGTCGGAAGCTTGTATCATATGGGAAAGTAAGTACAGTCATCATCAAAATATATATAAAAAAAAAAATCTTAAAAAAATTGTATATAGTATTATAAATAGGATTTCGAAAAGTTAGATTTCAGTTCGTTACAAATATCTCTATTTAATATAGATTGAAGTATTTTCCCATTTTATACAAGTCGCATTCAAATAGTATTTTAAAGTAAAATCGATTTCAGTTAAGCAACTTAAAGCTGCTCAGGCTGAGGCAGCCTCTCGCCTCATCATTAACAGCATCGAAATTTGAATTTTTGCCCGTGCGCCATGTTTGGGGGCGGGGCACGTGGAGGGGGTGAGGGGGCCACGCCCAAGACAATGAATGCGTAAATCTGTCACAATTAATACCTTTAATCGGGCTCACGCGGCACGCGCGAAGTCAAAAGCAACTTCCTGTGGGGGAGCGGGGCGAGCGGAGGTGGGGCATGAGACGTGCGGCACTTCCGGAAGCCCAGCTGCTCCGGCATATACACCGCTGGCAGCCGATATAGGTGGCTGCTTGGACGAAGTTTTTCGCGCTCTTGTCAACATGCTGTTGCAATTGGCAAGCGAGTGGGGCGACCATTAAAGCCATGTTAATCGATTTTCTGCTGCTTTACATGGCATCATGGCAATCCAAATCAAGCCAGGCCACACCCCACACCAAACGCCCCACACCCACGCCCACAGAGCTGCTGCTGCTGCTGCTGTCACTCACAAAGTAGAAAATAATCAGCATGGCCCAAAGAGTTTTCTTCAACCGAAGCGCTTTGGCATCGAGCGCCAGGTAAGAACTACTGACTGGGGCGATTGCCAGTCCCGTGGCCAGCCATTCAAATGGCCATAATAGAGCAGCTAGCTCTCAAGAAATTAATCATTCGATTAAAGCTCATTAATGAGTGTTGGCAGCCATTGAGATGTATCGATGCGGAATCCGCTTCATGCTCGGGAGTACAGCTTGAGCGCGTCTTAGTTACCAGCTCATATATGTATGTGGAGGGTTATGCAAGGGAACGCAGTCGGGGCTAGTATACTATGAGCATTTAAAGAGTGCCTCACTTCGCGAATTAGTTGCTTATTAATTAAGCCGGAGAGGAGGCAGAAGGGGGGAGCGAGAGTGTGTCTGAGTTCCCTTGCATTTCTAGTACGATTGCATGGGTGTCGTATGGCCTAACAGAAGAAGGGTGAAAGGGGATTGTATTTTATTTAATACGCTTCTATGCGATTCTCATGATTTCGAATTGGGTTACTCTCGCTTTATTTCTGTATGGCTCTGCTCTATATAACATCTGTTTATACCTTTCGCACTCCTCGTCTCGCTCCCTCTTTTTCTCTGTATCTCCATCTCATTCGAATCTCCTCGCCCTCTACGTTTCTCTCTTTCATTATCTTTCTGTATCACTCTCTCTCTCTGTTTCCTCACTAGAGAGTCTGTATATTTGTCTCTCTATCAATTTTCCGCTCTTATTCAGTTCTTCTCTTTATCCTATTTCTCTCTCTGTGAACTCCCTGTATTATTCGCTCTCTAGCTCTGTCACTAT